ATTTTTTTTTTAGCATTTAAAATACGCTTTGGCACCGGCCTAATCCTTTCGTTAGTTTTTAGTTTTTTATGCTCTCTGGGAAGATTTTGCTCTCAAGATGGAAAATTGCAAATATATTAACGATTCTAAATATAAATACTTATATAACAGCGAGGGGAGTTTGCCCAGAGTGTACGCTCTTCCTAAAATTCACAAATCGAATTGTCCATTCAGGATCATAATCTCGTCTATTGGTAGTCCCCCTTATATACTTTGACATCGTTTTTACACAACATATTATTTTGTTCGTTACCGAAAGCAGATAGTTATATTGAAGGTAGTTTTCAGTTGGTGGATAAACTTAAAGGAATGCACTTGGAGGGAGATTATAAATTAGTTTCACTTGATGTGATATCGTTATTTACAAATATACCAATAGACTTGGCAATGGACTGTATTAACGACAAATGGAAGTACATTTCGAGAGGATGTGAATTACCAAAGGCGGAATTTTTGATTGCGATCAAATTTATCTTAGATTTTTTTTTGTTTTTGATCGCATTATTTACAAACAAAATTTTGGTACACCTATGGGGTCTCCTTTGTCTCCCATCGTTGCAGACTTGGTAATGTAAAGATTGGAAAAAACAGCCTTGACGTTGTTTGGAAATACCAAATCGGTAACTTTCTTTTTTACCATCGATACGTAGATGACGTATGCACAGCTGTTTCGGTATCCAAGATGGACTCTTTTCTTAACGCGTTTAACGCGTTCCATCCTCGCTTACAATTTACTCTGGAAATCGGTGTCAATCAATTAAATTTTTTGAATGTATCCATCATTATTAATTGATTTTTGATTGGTATCATAAGCCCATCTTTTTTCGGGTCGATTTATAAATTTTTATTCGAACCATCCGTCTTCACAAAAAAGAAGCATAATTTTTGGTTTAGTGGACAGAGCTATTTTGTTGTCGGATCCATCTTTTCAAGAAAAAAACATATTTCTTATTATAAACATTTTATTAGAGAACGACTATCCTTTAAGGTTAATTTTTGATGACATTAATAATAGAATCAAGGACATTAATCACAAAAGATTATCTCGAATTAATAACTCTAAGAACAAAGATGAATCAATATTAAGTCCATTCTGGTTTATCGTACCTTTTATACCGAATTTAACAGAGAAGTTTAAACAATTTAATAGAAACGACATTGAGATCTCATATTTTAGTTCGAACAAACTGCGTAAATATATTAAAGCACATAAAGACCATTTAGACACTTTCTTGAGGTTTAGCGTTGTATACAAGATTAATTGTAATGACTGTGATGCATCGTATGTGGGACAAACAGGAAGAAAATTAAAAATTCGGATTTCTGAACATTGAAATCATATAAGATGGAATACCAATTCCAAATCAGTGCTAACGAATCATCGATTACATTTGGGATATGATTTCGATTGTAACAATATTCAAATTTTGGATGAAAAACCAGTTTATAACAAACGCCTTGTCTCAGAGATGCTCAATATCAAGAAACAAAAAAACAGTCTTAACCTCCAGACAGACATAGAAGGTCTTCATAAATCGTATATTTCAATTATAAATAATGTTTGACTTTGCGTTACCAAGATTTATCACAGTACGTTCGTATCAACCGACCGAATCGGACGTGTTTTCTATATTATATATTTCGGACGTCACATTATTATAATTTTTGTGATTTTATTTTTTATCGTGACACTAAATGATCGATTATTATTCAAGATTGTCATGGATTTTCTCACAAGTAAACCTACCTTTGTGTGACTCGCCGATTTCATTGAAACTTTGCACACTTGTAGAGTAGGCAAAAATAATAGATACGTATTTTTTTTTATCGGCAATGGTCAATATTAAAGGGGTGAAATCGACCCCCAAAGTTGAGAGTATTAGGGCATCGTCATGATGTTTCACATAAAAGTAATGTACCGATCAACACGAAGCTATTACAAAATGTTTTTTATGTTAGATAGTAAAGTTTACATGTCCGACTTTCCATGCACCCTTGTTGCGGGAGGTAAACCACCCTTCTCGTAAGGAATAATTGTTATGACAAATGGGTGACGAAAGTCTATTAACATTTTTATCTATAGTCTAATCTACCTTTCGTCACCCATTCGTCATAACAATTATTCCTTACGAGAAGGGTGGTTTACCTCCCGCAACAAGGGTGCATGGAAAGTCGGACATGTAAACTTTACTATCTAACATAAAAAACATTTTGTAATAGCTTCGTGTTGATCGGTACATTACTTTTATGTGAAACATCATGACGATGTCCTAATACCCTCAACTTTGGGGGTCGATTTCACCCCTTTAATGTTGACCATTGCCGATAAAAAAAAATACGTATCTATTATTTTTGCCTACTCTACAAGTGTGCAAAGTTTCAATGAAATCGGCGAGTCACACGAAGGTAGGTTTACTTGTCAGTGTGTTGACTTGGAGGTGAGTTTTTTATTAGAGAGATGTGTCATGCTTATTTAAATTTGATAATTCGGGTTATAATTTATTTGTTTTGTATTTTCTCATTAGAACAACGAGAAAAATTTTTCGCATACGGTCATCCAATTACTTGACGAGCATTTTTCCGTTTCTCCGTTTTAAACTAAATACTCATCTAACTACATAATGAGACATTTATTTTCTTATTATTTTATTTTGTATATTAATTTATACTTCGCTTTAATTGTTATATATCTGAGGAGGACCTAAATATAAGATCGAAACATGTAATGTTCGTATTGTGATTTCGTAATGTTTGACATTCTTATTTTCGACTTTTTTAAGTACTGTATATCTTTATTAATTATATTTGTGTCAAACGATTAAGATTTCTTAAGAAAAACATTTTTTTTTATTCTTATCAGCCTTTTACATTTCCTGATTAGTCTGGTTTGTTCTTAAAAAAATAAAAGGGAGCGAATAACTATTGTTCTGCAAAACACAGATCGCTTCTTTTTTGGTGAAACAGTGGGTGGCACAAAAATTATCTTTTCTCCTTTTCCATTTTACATATTCTCTCCTCTGTTCTTTACATATTATTGTAACGTCATCGTACATTACAAGTACATGATTAAGCGAGTTCTCTGAGTTCTCATTAGCAAAACTGCCAAAAAGATTAAATTATACAATTGTTACAAAATACATATAATTTTACATAACAATGGATGGCTTATTTAGCTTTAATTGTTTCATTTTTTACAATCAAACTAGAATTTTAGACTTGCAATTGTTATATGACCTTAAACTCATTTTTATTATTAAAACGTACTTATCGATTTATTAGATATTTCTATCTACGCTCGCATAAGACTTGGTTCACACCATTAGAAATCTGCATATTATTTTACTTGTATTGACCATTGAATTAAATTACTGGCTGCCGATCCATTCCATCACATAAGAAGAGCTGCGAGCGATATGTAAAACGCGTAAGACAAGAATTAATGCATTTAGGGATTATTATATTATTTTATTGTCCATATCGAAATTGTATCCAGTAGTTTAACGTTTTAGGTGATACTTAAACATTGTGAATGACCCGATAGTGGTTGAAACATTTGTTTTTATATGTATAATATGAAATTTAGTATATACCTAGCATTAAACATCCAGCTTGGCTTGTGGCCTTTTCTTATTTATTTATTTATCTATAATAACATATTTTTTTAATTACTTTTGTTTAAATCGTATTTTCATTTTAAAATCTGACGATTTTTTGCCTTTGCAATATATATTTTAATTTTTAAATAATACCTTAATTTTTAAATAATAACCTTCTGCAATATATATTTTAATTTTTAAATAATATATGTATATATATATATTATATGCATATATATGTTCGTGTTAATAGATATTCTATATAGATGTATATTTTGATTTTTTTTAAATTGCTTTTCGGTAAAATTACACATCAAAATTATAAATAGAGTATCCTAAATTTTTACACAAATTCTACATAAATTATTTAAACTTTTCTTAATATCTCGTAACTACGATAAATGTTGTATTTTAGATCATTATATTAATATTAATTATTAATTTTAAACAATAAGATTTTAATGTTAAAAATAAGTTTTTAAGTGTTTATGTATATGTTGTTAAGATTATAATATTATAACAATATTGTAATATTGATGGTATGTATTAATAAATAATTCCGGTGATAAATTTGTTATCAATATTACAAAAAGAATTACAGATTAACATTAATATTAATTTAAAAATAAAAATTCAGTCTTTGACCTTTTTAATAAAGAAATTCAAATTAGAAGTTTGTAGATGTAGTCTCTATGAAAATCAAAATATTGTGAGTCGTGTACATTGTGTGAATATTTACGAGACATTGGTCGTGAGAATTTCTCAGTTAAGTCTCAGTCTGTGTTCAGAATGTCAACGAGTAAAGGTCTTGTCGTATGGTCTTTCTTTATTTTATGGATTTTCGTAAATAACGCAAAATGCCAAGATTTAAAAGAAATGTCTAAAACATTAGACGAAATGCTCATCAACACTAGATCATTTCGAAGGCCTCGAGATCATGAAGATACTTCGGTAATTTGGCAAGAATATGAATTTGGTACAGGAGCTGGAAATCGAGAAGGTAACACTATTATTAAACTTTGAATACTTAATTTCTACTTATAATTATTCTATATTAACACTTAATTAGTATTAATAAATACAAATTGTGTTGCATAATTTTTAGAATTTTTTTTAAATAGAAGAGAAACGTTTGATTTGAACATGATTAGATTGGGATCATTTCTACGCATAGTATGAAAAAGTATTTTTATTTTCAGAAATTGTTGTGACAAATATTTCACTGCATACACTTGCTGATATAACTGAAAACATTAACATATCAATAAACAATTGGCAGTTTTTGCGAACAGAAACTAGTTACTTTATTTATGCCGAAAAATCGACGTTGATCTTTTACAAAATTAGTTGGGATGATTTGTCAATTGAACGTACTATAAGTTTATCGACCGAAGGACACATATTACAATTTAAAGTTCTCAATTTTAATATTAAAGCTACGTTTAATAAAAGCCACGCAAACAATTTAATGGCAATTGTACTAGTTGAAACCCAGTATGGTTGTTGTCTATATTGGTATAATATTTTCGGAAATACGTATATTTTGTATTCGACATGGCCCGTACGAAAACAAATTCAAGATATGGAATTTGTACAAGAAAAGAATCAACATGAATTATTGCTACTCGACAATGATGATACATATCTCGAAGATCAATCATTGATTGATGTTTATGGTTTTGATATTGACTATAATAATCATCGTATCGATATCTGGTAATTCCGTTTATTCAATTATGCATATTAATTGTTTACTTATCGTAATATTATATTATATGATACATTTTATTTAATGAACTAAATTTATTATTAATACATTGAAGTAATACTGCACTAATGCCCTGGTTCATTCCTCTATATGCGTCACATTTTAAACACATTTTAAAATTTGCAATCAAATTTTATAAAGTTTTTCTGAAAGATTTTGAATTATAGATTCTTTCATAAAGGAGACATTAAGAGATCCAAAGAAAATTAACAATAAAAATTAACTAATTACAAATAATTTATTGAATATAAATAATAATATATATATTAGATGTTGAGATTTTTATTATAATTTTTATGTTTGCAATTTTGATATTCTGAGGTTTCCAAAAAAACTTTAACCCTGAATCGGGCGCGCTTCCTAGTCAAACGTTAGTGGGCGCGTGCGGCACTGAGTGCCGCATCACAAGTTTATTATTTAGGAATTAAAATAATTAGATAAATAATTATTTATTAAATTATAATTGGACAATCGTCATAGAAGCAAGTAAAATATATTTATAATAAAATAATATTCAAATTTAACTATGATATTAAAATTTTGTGTCTTTCTTATAAAATTAAAAATTTGATTGTAACTAAAAAATTAAAAATAAAATAAAAACTAAGAGATTTGATAAAAAAAAAAAGTCACATTAATTTATAATTAAATATAAGAAAATAATAACAGTGCTTTTTTTTATAGAATAATGATATAAAATAAACCTTTTAAAACATGAAAATAGTAATTATAAATTAATAGTAAATTTAATTTACTTACACCATAATTTGACCTAATTCTAACCTAAAGAAATATTAAACATTAATATTAAACATTAATATGAACAAAAATGAATTAAAATGTCGGGAACGGTTCAACATCTCGCATTGTTACAATTATTTATATAAACAAGGTTTTACTTACGTTTTGTGGCGCGCGCGGCACTTCGTGCCGCAAAATGTGTCATACTGATTTTAAAGTGAATAAAAGGCTAGCCAATTTAATAGAAAAATACAATAATTGAATTATCTTATGATTAGGACATTAAATGAGGAATACCAAAGGTCGGTAATAAAAAAAGACCCGCATTATCAATGATTTTTCAGGAAAACGAATTTTGCGGCACTCATTGCCGCGGCGAACCCGGTTAAGAATTAAAAAAATTTTTTTTTCCAAAAATTAAAAATTTTTTTAAATTACAATTTTACATGTAGGGTAAACCGGGGAGTAAAGGTCCCCCGGTAAAAAGGTCCACCCCTTGTATCTCGGTAATAAGGCATTCACTAGAAAATTCCGCCACACAGTTCGTCAACTAAGAGTGAGAATCTTATGTCACACAGTTCGTTACTGCCTAATAACCGTCAGGAAACTTGCACGGATGTGCCCATGTGTTTGAGAGCCAAAAGTAAGATATTAGCGCCGCAGTTATTTTGGTCTGAAGGGATTATTTTTGCACCTAGATAGATTAAATAAGTGTGTTTATTAATCTTATTCTATTGTTTTAACAGTGTGATTATTAGAATTGTTATTTCTATTATAGTTTTTTAATAACAATACCGCAAAATTTACGTGACTTGTTGGGGTAAAAAGTGCCACGGTTGTTGGGGTAAAAGTGCCATATGGTATACAAGACAAAAATACAAGACAAAAATAAAAAGAAATCTTCCGCGAAACAATCAGCAACAAAGAAAAAGAAATAGATTAAGAAAAAAATTCTATAGGATTCTAATGATAATTCATGTAGTGTAGAAAATGAATACTTTTGCCTTGTTTGTTGTGAAGCGTATACAGATAGTGCTCCTGGTGAAGAATGGATTCAATGTAGCACTTGTAAAGGTTGGGCACATGCTAATTGTTCTCGAAGTACTTCTATATCTTATGTTTGCGTTAACTGTAATAATGATGACGAACGATTTTATCGCTTAATTATCTTTTTATAACAAATATTTTTTCAAATTCGTTATAATCATCCATTATTGGAAGACTGATTTA